ATTACTAAATACAGAAATTGCCTGAACATAAAATACATAATACTGTATACATCTTTTTAGCTCTACATTCAAAGGATCGTTGCTTTATGAAATAGGGAAAGACCACCAATTTTCACAGTTTTAAAATTAGTATGTTCTGCAATCTATGAGGACGTAATCTTTCATGCTTGAAAATGCACTTTTTTTCTTCATGCGCTACTCTACAGTAATGCCACCACATCAAAAAAAATATGTGAAATATTTTTCCAATAAAAAAATTTAAAATTTTGTGCACCTATCGTTAAAAGAAACTAGTTACAATATAAAGACATAATATTCATAATTAAGCAGGATTTTGATAACCCTCACATTATTTAAATCATCCTAATCATTGCCCAGTAGCTTGTCTTCCTTAAATTTGACAAATATCCAAAATATTTACCCAACAAACCTTTTTCATCACTTATCAAGATAATCATAAAGATGATTTGTAAAGATTATCAAGAGAAAAATTGAACTCACATTAGAATACAAAGGCTACATTTTTCAAATTTTCAGCGCTTTGTTTCTGCTTCCTTGAACAACAGACTTTTAGGCTATTTGAAAAAATAGTTGTGAGAAAAAGTTCAAACAATAATTTAGGTAGCTTCCTAGAGAAGTGCTTTTATATATTCTAGCTTTCTTATCAAATTTGTTAATCAACTATCTTTTGCTATTTTTATGATACTTAATGTTAGGAATTATTATTGTAGTATAAAATTCACAATACCATCCATTTTGGTTCTTCACAATAATCTTAATTGAAGCAGCACTTCCACAATTTGATTGAAAAACAAAATTGAGCATTATTATAATTTTGATACAATTAATATAATATTCTAATCAGAATTTATATGTGAATAATCAAAAAGTTAACTGATAATTAGATAAAAAAAGCTTGAATTCATCAAAGCGCGATTTTTGGGAAGCCACGAAAACTGCATTATTAAGAAAGTCACCTTTTAGCTTTCAAACAATTACATTTTTTTCAGATAATTATTTTCTCAAACATACTAAAATTACTTTTGTTTTATGCGGACAAGAACTGAACCGAATGAAGCCAAAGGCCTCATTTGGAACGTTTATGCTATTCTAGTTTTCAGAGAACATTTTATATAAAGCTGGCTTATTGTTCACAATTTAAATTTTCATTCAAAGTGGTTTTTTAAGGCAACTGCTGGGAAAAGTTAAAAAAGATAGAAGCAATCTAGTGGATTTTTTTTTCTTCATTCAAAAAGCACACACCTACTTTTTACTACCCGCTTATCCTTACCCAAAAAAAACAAAGGCTAACTCATATATAGAACGGATCAAATACTCCCTTATAATGATAGAATTCTAAGTACATGCAACGCAAGGAAAATAAAAAACAAGAACATGTTTAGTTTCCCTAAAGCTAGGCATATTATTTTCTAAATCCCCCTAGAAAGATTGAATCCACCCATTCAAATCAGCTTTCATTTTTTTATGTTAATATCGTGGCCGCACTTGAGGTAAGCGAAGCATATTTGTCAATGGCACAAAATGGCATGCGTCATGGCTCATAGCACGGCGCTAGCTGCATGGCGCAGGGCACATGTTCAAGTTGGCACACACTATTTGCGCCATGTGTGCGCAATGGATCATTGTGCAATTGTGTACGGCGCGCAATATAAATTTTAGGAATTTTTTAATATAGTTATATATTTAAATTTTTAAAATAATATAATAATTAAATTTAAAATTATTTGATATGATTAAAATAGTTAAGTTAGGTTTTATTAGACTTTATTTAGACTTTATTTTAATAGAAATTTTGAACGAACTTAAAGCTCACTTTAATGGTTTGGACTTTGGACCGCAAACATATTCAACCAAGCCTTACCCAACTTGATTGATAATCTAACAAAGGAGCCATATAATAATTTTTATAATTATTTTTTAGTTTGCACCATGTTAAAAATGGCGCGTGCCACGCCATGTACTATGTGTCATGGCTCCACGAGGAACTTTGGGCCGTGTTGCGCCATTCCCCGTTGACCAGTATGAATCGAAGAATGATTATTATAACAGAAATTGCACGCATGAATTTTAACTTTGCTGAATGTGAAATTAATCATTATCGGACAATATTGCTACAACATCAAGTGATAAAGAAGTGTGATTCATCGAAGCATTTTGGATTTTAATGTAAAGGAATGGGAATATTCTAAGTTAAAACTTAAGAAATGCCCCAAAAATATTATGTGATAAGGGAATTTTGCAAAGACATGATCAAAAAATTTACAAAACTGCAATTAAAACAACAAAGCTATCATGCATCCAAGTGTTCAGCATCGTAGAAATCACTAATAACCAAGTTCTATTATCGTAGAACTGAGACTAGTAAGATGAATGTGAGATTAAAAAAAGGAAATTATTTTTATAAGATAGATTGAAAGAGAAACATTAGAGATAAAATTGTGAAAAAGAGATGGGTAATTTGAGCCAATAGATTGGAATTTGAGTGAATAGATTGGAACGTAAGTAAATCAATAACGGGGTTAAATAGAAAAAAAAAGTGGAATATAACAAAGATAAAAGGGGTAGCTTATATATAACATCACTAGATGTTCTGCAAAAAGACTTGCACAAACTAGAGCTAACACTTGATGTGGCGTTTAATAGGACTAAATGGAGCAATATTAATAAATGTAAGCTCAAATAAGATAAGATGAATTATGATTAAGATGATGATGATGTTGTTGCCCTTGAGAAGTAGTATTATGCTTTTAGTCTTAATGTGATTAGGATACACCTTGTATGACCATGAGATGCAAAAATATTTTATGTTTGAGCATGTCATTCATCAATAACTTAACAAATCCATTGAACTTTGAGCTCCTAGAATGTTGCAATGAAACTTGATATAAGGTAGCAATATTATCTAATTGCAAAATCAAAATGGTGTAACAAAATTTGTTGAAGGGGCAATTTTGGATTCAAGTAGTATTCAATAAATCCTATAAGTCATGATTTACTAAATCTTGAGAATGTTAAATACGAAAAATAGTTTGGCAAGAAAGATGTTAAAACTTGCTAAATCCTGTGAAACTATTTGCAACGAAATTCAGGATTTTAAGGCGATTAATTCATTGAAAACCCAAATTGAATTTGCATTTTTTATTATAACATGCTAAAGTGTTTACATCTTGAGTTTTGGTAATTAATGAATGTTAATTATTAAAATTAATTTATTTGTATCAAATTTATAATTAAATATTATTAATTCTAATTTAAAAATTCCTATTAACCCAAATTAGATTAATTGAATCATACTTTAAATAAATTAATATCATAAGTATTTATTAATTAGTAAAATATTAAACTAAGAAATAATAAAAAAATTTATTTAACCTCTAAATGAAGATCAAAATATCTAATTCCTATATGATTAAGATGATTTTCGATGACGTATCAATATATAACACAAATATTTTGTAATTTACTAATACAACACCCAAAACAGAAAATAAAATACAAAATATTAAAAATTGTAAATTTTAAAAATAACAGATATCTTTTTGTATGTGCATTTTAATATGATTGAAATATTAAATTATTATATAGATAAATATTAGACAAATAAATATACTAAAATTATATAATAATTTTTATAATATTATTTAAGAAACCTAAGCCTAGGGCTCCAAACAAGATCAAAGCAAGAAAGCGAAGAAAAGAAGATTTGTAGTTATTAAAGTCCTTGATCCATGCAGACCTCATTGTTGATTTCCAAGATCTAAAATGGACTGGACCAGCCATAGAAAATTTCCATGATTGAACCAATCAAACCAATCACTCCAATCCAATTTTCAAAAACATGATTAATTCTATTTTAGGAATTTTTATCAATACAGAGTAAATTAATAAATAATATACTTATTATATATTATATAATAAGTAATTATTTATTTATAAAAATTAAACTAATGAAAGACAAATAAAAAAGATTAGTTAACTTCTAAGCTCTAAAATAAAGACCTAGAAATAAACCATCACTACATGAGAAATTGAATTATCTTTTTATCCAAATGGTTTGTTTGTCTTTGCCAAATGCTCTACTATTACTGTGGTGTTTAAGGGAAGACAAAAAAATTAAGCAAAATAAGAAAAGTTTGTAGGAGGAAAACGAAGTTATGAGAGGTGTGTGGTATTATGCTCTGCCATTATGCTGGTCTATTTTAGCTTCTCTTTGGTCTGTGTATGCTATCCTAAAGCCTTAGGCTATCTAAGGTTTGTTTTTTCGACATCACCATTTCTTCTTCTTTGATTTCTTATTTGTTGTTGCTTTTTGCATTGCGTGCTTCACATAAAGTTAGTTGAAAGAGCTGCTAAAGAATCATCCCATCTCTTTCAACAACATTGTCCTATCAGGTTGAAAGTCACCACGAGAGCTCGCTGCAAAGGTACAATCTCTTACCCTTTTATGCACGGTTTGTTTGATTTAATCCCATAAATCTGCCGAACAACTAGATTTACTAAATTTGGGATTTAAGGCAAAAGGGAGAAGAATGGATTAAAGTTTTTGTAGGATTTAAAGAAGTCATTTTTTACTATTTTGGTAGGATTTAGGGAAATCCTGCATTAAGACAGCCCCTAAAGTTAAATTGATGATTTATAAACATATGAAGAAGCCTAACAGGGAAATAACTCTGGCATAGTCGGCCGGTAAATAAAATCATTAAATATGACGTCTCGACTGCTCATCTTCAGAACGAATTTAGCACAAAAAGCACGAGTTGTCACGTATAAGAGTAAAGTGAACAAGGATGAGGACCTAATTCAGAACACAGTAGATCTAAAATAACAAAACAGTTACGTTTTGGAGAAATAAAACACGAATAATGATTCATAAAAAAATCAACTAAACTGCATATATATATATATATATATATGCAAACTACGGTGTTTTCAAATATATATGCATCTAATCAAATTATGGTGTGCTCAAATATTCATACCGACAAATCTTCCACCCCAAAACAGATGCTTTCCGTCCTCATCTTCCTCATCAACCTCATCTCCATATCCAAACTCGGCGTCACCTCTGTATCCATTCTCGCTGCCGTAACCAGACTCGTTACCCTGGGAATCGGGCCCACCTGGATGCGATCCGAATGATGATCCTTCCCCACCACCTCCCTCCCTCCTCAAAACCCTTGCCTCGCTAATGTCCGATCCCCAGCTCCCGTCCCCGTTCAGAAATAGCTCGCCGCTTGAATCCGTCCCATAGGTCACCGGCGGGAAGTCTGAACACGTGGCGTTCGCTGCCGAAGCGCCCCCACAACAACCCCGCCGCCTTCTCCCGCTCCGATCGCTGCTTCTGCCGGACACCGACCGGGAACCCCTCCGCCTCCTCTTCCGTGGAACTAGCCACCGGAACCCCCTCTCCTCCCTGGACTTCGAAGGAGTAGGATCGTCAAGGAGAGAGAGCCGAAAGAACTCAACGCCGTCGGCTGTGAGGGGCGGAGCAGTCGATCGGTCAGAGCGGCACGGCTTCTTAGAGCGAAAGGAGTAAGGATTTGGGGGATCGACGGGTTGGGCTTGGATCTGGAAGGGTTTCCACGCATGGAGCTGGAGGGTGCAGGCTTCGAGAGCATGGCGCGTATTAACGGCCCTCGGTGTCATCTGATCCACGCAACAGTATCTATCTCCCGCCTTATACAGCACTGGAAAGAGAAAATACGGATGCGATTTCGAATTAGGGCATTTATTCAGTGGTAAAGACAACGTAAACAGAGAGAGAGAGAGAGAGAGAGAGAGAGAGAGAGCCGACGGGAAGCGTTGGCTATCTATCTCCCTCGCTCTCCGGCTAGAGCTCCGGCTAGAGCTCAGACGCGTCGACGGTAGAAGAGAGTGAGTGAAGACAAACGGAGAAATAGGAAGAACGGCTTAGCTCAGGGAGCAAATGGGTTTTCAAGTGAACTTTCCAAACGATTTCCTTATAAAATCCAACTGTCCGAGAATCCGTATTTCGGGAATTTTTATTTGGTGTGTATTTCGGATGTAGCTCTATGTGTGTAAATCGGTTGTTGAATGTTGAATGACACCTGGAGTCCATCTTGATCCCACCGATCTTTTATCACGTGTTTCTTTTTTACAGCGCTGCCCGATGACTGTAACTGCCCGTAAAAATGAAAAAAAACATGGTAATACGTAGGGTTTTATACTTTTATTTTATGCCGCGCATTATATACCTCAGTTTAAAAAGTTTTTTATCATCACTTGAAAGCTCATAAAGAAAGAGAAGATAGGAAGCTATGAAGATGAATACCGATCAGGAGGTCTTCGAAGATTGGCCATAGATGGAAGGCGTTACCCAAGAGTCACAGCAGCAAAGAGGAGAAGATATTTTTCAGCTAAATACCGAAGATAAGTTTGAGATATTATCGATAAATATGAAATGTATTTCATGACTTTAGTGTTTAGTTTAGTATTTTATCTTTTGAAAAGTATGTTTTGGTGGTTGCGCGGTTCCTAGGTACCGTTTAGTACCGTTTGATACTGGTTGGTACCGCTCGGTACTACTCGGTATTGCTAGGTACCAAACGGTACCGACAGGTACTAATGTTGTTGCCAATTAGTGTGTCTATTTCCAATGTTTAAATCGAAGTGTTTTATTAGATTTTCTTGTTCGTAGGTAGTCTGTAACAGTGAGAAAGAAGCTTATGAAATGTACTGTCATTACGCTCACATTGTTGGTTTTAGTGTTCGCAAAGATCATCACTGTTATTGGATTAATTCGAGAAAGATAAGGCTCAAGGATTTTGTCTGTTCGAAAGCTGGATTTAAGAAGGGCATCGACTTGAACACCAAATCAAAATACCAGAAATCCAATACTATGACCGGTTGTCCCGCAATTAGCCAGGCCTGAAGATCAACATTTACTCAGATCTTGTAGGAAAATTAGTGATGATATAGCATTTGTTCTTAAATCAATGACCCAAGCTAGGATTAGAATCATTGATGCATTTACGTACCTAGCTGATCAGTACCGAGTGGTACCGATCGATACCGAGCGGTACCGACAGTACCGATCGATATCGAGGGTACCGACAGTACCGATCGGAACCTATCAGTTCTTGGAGGAACAGAGCAGTACCTACAGTTGCATATAATAGTTTCCTCTGTCTCAACAGAAAAATAAACCCTAACGACAAACCCTAGAGCTAGCATTCTGAAACAAAAAGAAGGGTGGTACTCAGTGTACCCAGCCGGGGTACCCAGTGGTACCCAGAGGTACCCAAATGTGGTACCCAGACGGAGTACCCAGCGATACACAAACCACACATTATAAATAATACTAACTCTAAACCCATAAAACTTGATTGTAAGTAGAAATGACTATAGAAAAAACATACCTTCACCATGTACACTGAAGATGCTTGTTGTAGTAGATTCGTGTAGAAGGACATGAAATGGAATAATTGCCATCAACTTCTCCTTGTGGATAAATGTAGAAATCCAAAACGCTCGAATAGGTAAAATTGGAAGAGACGTTTCGATTTTAGGAAATACCGCATTCTTTTTTCATTTTTACGGGCAGTTCCGGTCGTCGGGCAGCGCTGTAAAAAAGGAACACGTGATAAAATATCGGTGGGGTCACGGTGGGCTCCACATGTCGTTCAATGGCGGGTTTGCACACATAGAGCTACATCCACACTCCACTCCCAATAAAAATTCATATTTCGGGGGCTAACGAGTTAAATAAGAAACATTTTGCACGCTAGTCAATTGACCATAAAATCTATATTATTATTATAAAAGGAGTTTAAATTTTCTTCCATATTAAATCTTGATAATCTATTTTATTTTTTCTTAAATTATCTTATCCTTTTATTATAGTTTAAATAATTAATAAATTAAAAAATAATACTTATACAATTTACACCTTATATTGAATTAATTTAATTCTTTTAAATAACATTTGAGTTAAAAGCCACTTCAGATTCTTCATGCCATTGAACCGTCCATATGGCACTTTCAAATGCTACCTAAAATATTGAAGTTGCACTCTTTGCATTCCCATTCTACTATTCCTATTCCTTCCCTTCTCACGTCACTTCATACCCGACAGGCCTCCCTACCATGTTCTTCGGCTTTTACGAGAGCTTCGCCTTATTCGTTCTTCTTTGATTGCAATCGCTTCTTCGGTCACGAGAGGTTCTCCTTAAGGTCTATAGTTGCACCTCTCTCTCTCTCTCTCTCTCTCTCTCTCTCTCTCTCTCTCTCTCTCTCTCTCTCTCTATCTATCTATCTATCTATCTATCTATCTATTTTTGAATATTATAGAGATGGTCTATTCCATTTGTTTGTTGTTATTCAACTTCTTTGCTACTCGACAAAGGGAGAAATTTTCTTTCTTCAATGTTGTTGAAATTTCTCAAACTTTTTTTATTATATAGAAACAAAATTTGAAATTTTCCGTTTATTTGTTGTCATTCGACTTCTTTGCTCATTCATCACTTTGTCTCTTTTCTTAGTACAGTGACATGCTCTAAATATGTGGCATGTTCCACAAAATGGAGATCATGGCATCTTCAGGATTGATAATATTTTCTAGCACATAAATAACTAGAATATATGTCATCTCTTCTTATGGGATAATGAGACAAATAATATAATATAATATAACTGTAATAGGGCCCAAAAATAGTCGAGATTCTGAAACACTAAAGATTTCTTTGGCCGAATTTTTGAAGCATCACAATGAATCATCATGCGATAAAAGTTGATGAGTTTTCCTATTGCTTGGGGAAAAATATTTATATGTGATGATTAAAGTATAGTGTTAGTAACTTGTAAAGGCTACATAATGAGTTCTCTGTTTTTACATTAAGAGTTTTGTAGTGCAAACTTATTTCGTGAGCTAAACTTTGAAATAATTAGTAATGAAATCATAAACTCACAGTAATATTAGTGGAAGGTTTCTATAGTTGTGTTGTGATGCAATCGATCTATGGCATTAGAAGTTATTGCATTTGAATTCTTTGAAGACTTGTTTTTTTTTTTTTTTTAAAGTTGCATATAGCATTGAATTAAAAAAAACTATTAAAAATTAAAAAACCTAGGCATTCCTTTGAAAGAGAAAGGAAGCTTTTATTTGAATTAATTTAAGCATATAGAAGAACTTCAGAAAACAGGAAAAATCTTAATGAAAGTAGGATCCTCTACTAATCATTTTAAACCAATTGGGGTGGAGGGGATACCAAAGATTAAACAACCTAAAAGGTTGATTAGTATCCCAGAATTCCCGATTAGGTAAAAAATAAAAAATAGAGAGATGCCTAGATTCCATTATTCTAAATCCCCTTTCCAAAATCCAATTATTTCTTAAAATAAAACTAGAGAAAGCAAGAAAACTAATCACAGAACAAAAAAATAATTGACATCCATAATCATCCACTGAGAAGAAAACTTGAATCTTCACCTCTTCATCCATTCTGTTATTCACAATCTTCAACATCTTTACCCAATCTACAATCCAACCATGGATTCCTTCAGACGATTCAATGAGCATTTCCCGAAGCAAATGATGAAGTGTGTCTAACACTATCATCAATACTCAAGTTCTTACCTCTTAGACTCCCTTGATTGGACCAAACACATTTAAATCTTTATTAAAATTTTTCTTCAGATTCCCTGTCTTGGAAGGAATAAAGAATTTCCCATCATCTAACACGGTTTCTTTACTCTTTACTTCGTTAATCTTAGTCAAAGGAGTAACAGAATTTTGCAATCTATTCAGAATTTCAAATCCTTTCTTTTGTTCTCTGCATTTCAAACTTTCAGCCAGAGAAAGTTCCTTCATAACAGAATTTTTGTATACAGCATTCTCCGACCTGATAGCCTCTGCTTTGCCTACTAAGTCTTGTTCTAAACTTGTAGAACAAGCTTGAACATCTTCTCCCATTCTATCATACTCATTATTCAGATTATTTCCCCATCTTCTAGTTGTTCAAGTTCAGAATTAACCAATCCAAAATTTTTATTTTCCTCTTCTATCACCGAGCAATGAGATTATGGATCTACCCTGCTCTCTTTGTCTAGCATTCCATAATCTTCACCATATATTCTACTCAGTTCCTTAGCAAAAATGTGGGACAACAAATTGAATTTGTTCCCAGTTATTACTTCAACCGGTGCCAAGCTGTCTCCCAGAATCATGTCAGCTGACATATGAGAATTCTTCTTGTCAACTGATAATTCTTTCTCCAATATACCTTCCGGATTGAAGCAGATATCCTTTATTGTCGAATTTGTATTACAGTTTTATTCATCCAAATTGATTTCACTTAATATTACCTACTGGTTGGCAATCTTATGCCCAGCATTTTCTTTATCCTTGGTCATCAAATTTCCTTCAGCTTGAAAAGAATTAGCTTTGCTTTGATATTTCATATCAACTTTCATCTGTGATTGTCTCACCTTGGTTACTTCTTTATTAAACCTTTTATTCCATTTATAATTAACATGGACCCAAGCTCCATAATTATCTATCATCTCCTTCTCTTGAGCCTTATGAAGATTGCCTTGTGCTTGATTATAAGAAGCATCCACATTACTCTTCTCTACTATACTTGCCTTTTTTACATTTTCTTTTTTCATGACCAATTATCCCATAATCATAACAAAATAATGAGATTCTCTCATCTATAACTTTTTGAAAGAATCTCCCTCCCAATCCTTCCACCCAAACACCCAAGGGAAGAGGTTTGTCTAGCTCCATGCGAACACAAACTCTAGCAAACTCCCTCCTTCCCCATTGAAACATCTTCCCATCCAACATTAAAGGACCACCTACCATAGAAGCAATCATAGCAACATTTTTCTCATCCCAACAATGTAGGTTAATCCTTTTATAGAGCTCGGTGAAAACTCCATTGACCACCAGCTTTCCATTCCCACAATGTGTTCATTTACAAACAAAGGCCCACCTGATAGAACTCCTTCCATAG